CATTCCTGGCCTCTACCCACTAGATGCCAGTAGCACCCCCATAGTTGTGACAACTTCAGGTATTACCAATGTCCCCCCCAGGGAGGGGGGCAACATCCTCCCCTATGAGAACCTTGATACATTGTAAACTCTCAAAAAAATGATAGGTGTTTTTATGGGTGTCCTTCACAGGGCCTGCTCAGGACTGAGTCCCAAAAAGCTCTTAGAAAATAGTAGCTTAGGGAGTCAATGAATGAATGAATGGCTGGCTCCCTAGTTGATCACATCTAGAGGCCTTCCCTGGGGCCCTGAGGCCCTCAACTGCTCCTTCGAAACCCTCACGTCTTCCTGGTTTCCCCAGCCATCCCCTCTGGCCTCTAGCTTGTGCCCCGCACCTGCACTAACTCTGTCCTGTCATTCCCAAAGCTGCATCTTACTTTCAAGAATGATGAAAACCCTAAGACTTTGATTACTAATAGCTATCATTCCTTGAGTACTCATTATGGGTCCATGTAAGCAATTACCTGGATTAACTCATTTAATTCTCACTATTCTATGGGGGCCCCTCTAGGTTTTCCCATCTAAGACGTGAGGAAACTGAGATGCTAAGAAACGTGCCTGGTTATATGTTACAGAGAGCGGGTGAGGGGAGAGGCAGGACCCAGGTCCAGGCAGTCTGGTCCTGGTCCTCCTGTGCCGCTGCTCTATTATGCCTTCTCCCTCCCACCAAATTGTGTTCTGAACCCACCCCTTCCAAGAAGCCGTCTCCATGGACCTGGAACCCTGTCTCTCGGGTTCCCTGGCACCGGCATACCCTGGGCCCCTCTGCCCGACCTCGCTGTGAGTACTCCCCAGCCAGCCCTCCCCCCGGCCCGCCCTCACCTCGTAATCCACCCCAGCCCGGTTCAGGGCAATGTTAATGGTGAAGGTGGAGGCGTCATGGTGTGGCATCAGGGAGGGCTGCTCGTCAGGCTTATAGCGGACAACAAAGGCCAGGTCGAACTGGGCCTGCGTCGAGGAAGCGGGACAAGAGAAGTGGAGTTAGAGGCCCCCGAAGGCCGGGAAAGGCAGGGGTGCATAGAAGGGACCCCTCATCCAATCGCTGGAACGTTGGCCGGGAGAGCAGGTCCGTTTATGCTGTGTTCTCCAGTGCATGGCACAGAAAAGGTTCCCAGTTAAAATGTGGGGAGGAAGGGAAGGGAAGGAAGGGGAGGACATGGAGGAAAGGAGGGAAGAGAGGGAGAAAGAGAGGATGGAGAGGACAGGAGGGGAGAAAAAGAAGCAAGAAAATGAACTTAATCCTCACGACCTGTTCTGGCTGGTGATTCCTTGAGGGTAAGGCCCAGGCACACTCAAAGCAGGTATTTGGAGAAAACCATTTAAAGAGGAGGTGACTGAGAGAAGGAGTGCAAAAGCCAAAGAGACGGTCAAAAGACACACGACGGAGGAGCTGAAGGAATGGGCACGCTGGCCAGCTAACTGGGGGCTTGTTTGGTGGGCTAGCACAGGAGTCACTGAGGCAGGATTTAAGTACACAGAGAAAGATGCAAAGGAGTGAGTCAGAGGCTAGAGGCCCAGTGGCCTTCCATTACCCTAGATGCCTCCCGGGGCCCCGCCTCACACCTGATGGGAGACTTCACTCCTGGAGACCAAATATTCCATCACTTCTCCCCCGAGCCAGGAACACCCTCCTCCTCACAAGCCCCAGCCACTCCACCCCAAGCCCTCATCCTGGCTGCACCCCAGGCACGCCCACCCTGGTGTAGTAGCCCGGGTAGAGTTTCTCCGTCATGGGGGCGATGTACTCCACCAGGAACTTGTGCCACTCCCGCTCAAAGTTGATCTGGTTCATGTGGATGTCTATGGTCGGCACGTTTTCGTAGCCACCCTGGATGCGGTTGTCCTGGAAGTGACCAAGGAGAGTGTGGTAAGCAGAACTCTTAAGATGGGCCCCCTGCCACCCCGCTGGAATTCCAGCCCCCTGGTGTACAGGCTCTGCCTAATCCCCTCCCTTGGACCTGTGAACCCGATGGGATAAGGTTAGGTTACAGGACAAAAGTGAAGGGGATTAGCAGATGTTAATTAATGTAATCAGTCTATTGACTCTGGCTTAATCAAAAAGGAGCTCATCCTGGGTGGGCCCTTCAAGGAGGATCTTGAAGAGGGAGACTCTGTGTCCTACTGGCCTGGAAGGAGCAAGCTGCCTGAAATTCTACAGCTGCAAAGAAATGAGTTCTGCCACATGAGCTTGAAAAAGGACCCCAAGCCTCAGATGAGACCCCAATCCCAGCTGATACCATGACTGCAGCCTTGTGTGGCCCTGAGCCGGACTCCCGACCCGCAGAAACCGGGAGATAATAAATGGGTGTTGTTTTAAGCTGATAAACTTTGTGGTGATTTGTTACACAGCACAGGAAACCAACGCAGAAGGGCACAGGTTAGCTGGGGCACTAGCATCCCAGGGCTGACCCGGCCAGTGGAGCACAAGTGTTCACCAGACCCCACACGTGGGCTATGCGAGTTACTGGGTTCTGCAGATGAGCTCTGCCACCAAGCATGTAGATTAGGCAGTAACCAGAACCACTGCTTAGTCAAGCTGCCAGCCCAAAGGTTAGCTGGTCTCTGAGGCCCAGAGGCCCAGGGGCTCATGTGCCTTTAAAAATGGTTCCTGAACTTTCCAGGATGGGTGCAGGTATGAATCCCTCCTTCAGGGAGTGCACAGCCTGTCACATCCACCATGCCCCTTGCTTCTGCTGTCTGGTGAACTTGGCACTGCTGTCGCTTCCTAATTCTTCTGTGTCCCACACTTGCTCATTCCTCCCCCATCTCCATCCACGCCTGATATGGGGAAGGAGGCTACCTCATTCTAATGAGAAACCAGGAACTGGAAAACCTGCCATTTAAGCTTAAGGCAACTCAAAGTCACCCAGCGGCAGTGGCAGCTTGAGGACCAACACCCCATCCCATTTCTCAATCCCTCTACTCCTCAGTGCCTGCAGGCCCTCCTGCCAGTGCCCCCATCTCCAAGAGTCCCAGAGAGCTTGGCTGGCTTGCCAGGAAAAGAGCCCAGAGGGCAAGGATGGCAGGAGGGGCAGCCCCCATCGGCCGCGGTCCGGGCGCCTGGGACCCCTACCTTGTTATCTCCCAGAGACCACTGGCCGTAGTGCTCCATTTCTCCCACCAGCTCATCACAGGCCGTCTCCGTGAAGATGGGGAACCAGTAGACGTCTGGGCAAGGCTGAGGAGGGTGGGGACTCGGTCACAGGGTGCAGAGTGGCGTCACCGCATTCTCCCCCTGCCCCCATGGCCCTCTGCAGAACCCACCGCAGGCAAGGCCCATCATGTGGTCTATGCCCGGTCCCACACACTCCAGTCTGTGGGCCCTCCATGGCCCCACCAGTGTCCCCAGGGAGCAGGGGCTCAGTGAGCTGCTGAAGGGAGAAGGAAGCAGAGCTCAGAGCTGGCCCTTCTCAGCCAAGAGCAGCCAGGGCCAGGTCCAGGAAAGGGACGTGCATATCCCCAGTGCCCCCAGGGAGCAGAGGTCCGCAGGCTCCGGGAGAAGCAGAGAAGCATTTGTTTCTCATCCTAGGCCCACAGTCCACAGTTGAGACCACACTTGGGGATATTTTCTTCTTTCTTGTTCAGGCCAGGGATGAAGCGTCAGGCACCCCCAGACCCCTGAAGACTCCAGTTGGAAAGTGCCAGCAAGAGGAGGGGGCCCATCCCACTGTCCATTCCCTCACCCCAAGCAGTGCCAGAGCATAGAAAGGTGCCTTCTCCCCGCCCAGGTCGACTGGCTTTGTTCCTCTGCTGTCTGTCCCACCCCCTGCAGCAGGTACCGGATGTGAATCCAGCAGCTTTGTTCCCAAACAGCCTCCAGTCCTTACCATCTCCACCATCTTCCCTGCCAGGGCCTTGGTGTAGTTCTCGTGGATGTACTTCTCTTTCCAGTCCTGTGGGGAGCGGGGGAGGTGGGGTTCTCAGGCCTGCCTGGGCCAGCTGGGGCTCACCCCTTGTTCCACCGCATGTGCTGCTCCAAGATGGAGTTCTGCCCCGCAAGCCCCCTGGGGGGTGGGGCGGGGCGTGGGGGGAGCCGGTATGTGCCTATGCCACTGGGTCATGTGAGCTGATGGGCCCACAAGTGCCTGCAGGACGGGGTGTCTGCATGTGTACACGCGTGTGCGTGTGTATACAGGTCTGCCCGCAGGTATGTACATGTGCCCACATCAGCCACAAGCTTGCAACGTCTAGGGGTGCTGTCATCACAACACCCTCAGAGGTGAGACAGGCTGGGACAGTACACCCATTTTAGAGCTAAGATAACCGAGTCCCCAAAGGTGGAGAGGCTCAACTAAGTCACAGCTGATGGACCACAAACCTCGGCCTCTGACTCCTGGTCCCTCCTCCACCAGATGGCGCTGCCTCTGGAGATATTCTCTCCCGACTGAAATCCTGCCCAACAAGCCCCCTGGGGCAGAGGGAGGCAGCGGGGGTGGGAGTGGCTTGGGGTCCCAGCCAAGGTCAGGCTGTGAGAGGGAGGCTCCTCAGGCCACAGGATCACTGGGGTCTCCTCTGCTCCCACCCCTGCCCACCCACGAAGGGCCTCACCTCGGGGTTGCTGAACACCTCCCAGAGGTCGTTATGGAGGTGGGTGGTTTGGTAGCTGTCCAGGGACAGCAGGTGGCCGAAGGCGTGCCGGTTGGTCAGGAACAGGAACACATCCTGGGGAGAACGGGCCAGATGGAAGAGACCCTCCCTCTCCCCTGCACGCCCCCAGGGCTGGGGTGGGAGGCACGACTGCAGCCTCCTCTGCCCACTGAATTCAAGTTCACCTCATCTCCCCAGTGCCTGGATGAGGCCTGACACTGGGGATGCAATCAAGGAAGACTTCCTGGAGGACTGAACAGGAATGAAAGAATGAATGTGCAAAAGAAAAGGATGGTGTTCTGACCCTGGAGTTAGTTGTGGGCACAGGGGAAATATTACCCTGCCGTCATAGTTTTTAAAATAACCACAAAATAATATTGGGTGGGGCACGGGGATAGGGTAAGGGCATATGGGGCACATTACTTGGAGTAAAGGTGGAAAGTTTTAGGTAGAAAGTTTTCTTTAGGCTCTGTCGGAAATGTAAATAAAAGAGGTGGTGTGAAAACAGGTGGTGTGAAAAAAATGATCCTGCAGATCCCGAGGACCAGCCCTCATGCCCAGGGCCCCAGGTGCCCCCACCAGGGCCTGGCAGCCTTGAAGCAGCCCTGCTGGGATCTCAGAAGCTGCAGGGCCTATGGTGACAAGGTGGCCCATCTTCCCTGTCAACAGGGCCTCTTCTGACTGCCCAGCCCGGGCTAACCTGCTGCCGGATATTGGCACAGAAGGCCATGTCTGGGTCCAGCTTGCTGTGGTGGAATAGGTCCATCTCCTGCAGCTCAGCCCGCAGGGCACTGCCCTTGATCAGGTAGATGTTTGAGATGTAGGGCACGTTCCAGACACCGCTAAAGGAAAGAAAGGAAGATGGAGGGGGCCACAGGCGATGGCGAGGGGTCATAGTCTGGGGGTCAGGGGGAGGAGGAAAGGGGCAAACACAGGCTGGGAGGGCACAATGGTGGTGATTTGATTCCCCTACCCTGGGCACATGGGCCCAGGATAACAATCAGAAAGTCCTTCTGTGTGTCTGACTGCAGTCTTCCTTTCTTCAGTTCAACAGGAATTTGAGAGCAACAGGACAGGAATACTGGGGAGGGAAACAGATGAGGGTGCCCCCCATCCTGCAGGTACTCACACACGCCGCCCCTGCACAATGTCCACGTAGTCCTCAGAGCGGGCGTAGTAGCCATCTGCACTCAGAGTCCCCCAGAAGTTCGACCACAGCCTCCCGTGGCGGGTCATCAACGGGGCGATGACATTCCTGGGGAAGGAAGCACCTCAGAGGGAGTCTCTCTGCCACGGGGAGGTTGGGGCAGACCCAGGTATGGGGAAGGGGAGGGAGAGTGCCTTCACCCTGCAAGCACCTCCCTAGGGTAGGGCCTGGAGCCAGGTCTGGCCCATCTGGTGCCAGCTCCCTCCCACAGGGCAGCCAGGAAAGGCTGGGCGGGGGTGGGGGGTGGGGGGGGGGGGGGTGTTGGGGGGATGGGAGTGGGGGGGTGAGGCTGGGGCTTGTGGCCGGGGGGGGGGG